CTCAAATGCTTTTTCTCTGTGTTCTCTGATGCTTGCTATTGTAAACAAAGACCATATTACGTCCAAAACACGTCGGGCATTGTTTCTGATGGCAACGTTTCTGATTCTGGCTGTGGGTCCACATTTCAGATATTATGTCATATCAGCAGCACATCTGGATCAGCGCCGTTGTACCCCCGTTTTTAGAGATGTGGGTACAGAGGGAAAGAGAGAGGGGTTTGTATTTGTGACACTTTGTGAGTTCCCTGACAAACCGGGGACACATATTGATGTATAAAGGACATTAAAAGTGCATTCTGCATGATAGGTTCCCTTTCACTTTTGATCAGACTTTCTACTGGACTATAACCCGAGGTGCAGAAGCTCACATGAAAGGCAGTAAACAGGAACCCCTCCCAGTTTCTTTATGAGTCCTGCAGCTATCACATGAGGGTTTCTGTAACAGATATGATGACCTTGTACATTTCAGTAACCATCCTGAAAGATAACTTTTAAATTACTCATCTTAAAATTGTGACTGGAAATGTACTGTATTAATTTCCTGAATGAACTTTTAGACAGTGAGGACTGATCTCCTGCAGTGTGAACGTAAACATACTAAATGAAGATGATGGATCATTACTGGATGTTGGCTGCTGTGTGACTAATCTCTCCTGTGTCTCTGTCTCTAAGGAACCAGCAGAGAGGATGCACAGTGTGAACTTTGTCCGTCTGGCTTCTATTCAGAGCATGGAGTGAATTGCACGGACTGGACAGCGTAAGGCTTTGTTTGTTATGGCATTACTAAAACAATTGGGGCTCTTCCTGCCCTGCACCACGAAATGACCACTTTGTTTCTGCAATAATTGCTCAAAAAAAGTTGTGATTTGTGGCTTTATCTGTATGTGTGATGGACCAATCTTTCCCATCCACAGGAGATTCAAACATTGCCAATCCTCCAGTTTTATTTGATTTGGTCACAAAACATAACTCTCAATAGAGCTTTTCCAAATGTTTGCATTTTAATATTGATTTGTGATCAGTGTCCTTCTCTGTCTTTTAACATCATTATAAAGTAATGTGTCAAAGTTTTAGGCAGGTGTGAACAAATTCTAAATCAAATCAATATTTGGTGTTACCACCCTTTGCCTTCAAAACAACATACATTTTTCTAGGTATATTTGCACACAGCTTTTGAAGGAACTCCGCTGGCAGGTTGTTCCAAACATCTTTGAGAACTAACCGCAGATCTTTTGTGGATAGGCTTCCTCAAATCCCTCTGTCTAATCATGTCATCCCAGACAGACTCGATGATGATGAAATTAGGGCTCTGTGGAGGCCATACCACCACTTCCAGGACTTTTTGTTCTTCTTCATGCTGAAGATAGTTCTTAAGGACATTGGCAGTATGTTTTGGTTCGTTGTCCTGCTGCAGAATACATTTTCGCCAGCCCTTGTGTAGACAATTATTTCAATCAGTCGAGAGCACAAGCTGCCGTTGATCTACATCACAGTTCCTATGTTTTGGAGCATAGTTGAGTCGCTTGGCCTTGTTTCCATGTCGGAGGTATATCTTTTTGCCTACCTTCCACAAACTCACATTGGTAGCAGAGTTTGGCTGTCCCTCACCCAGTTTTAAACCTCACACAAAGCTCTTTCTGTTTCAGTGGACAACTGTGTTTGAACCTACATGTAAAACTGATGATCATTAGCCCCTGTTTGGTATAATTGGTTGATCATACCCCTGACTGTAATCCTACAAAATCCCTGACTTTGTAAGAGTACCTGAAGGAATTGATGCTGGTTTGAAAGCAAAGGGTAGTAAAACCAAATATTGATATGATTTAGATTTTTCTTTGTTCATTGACTTTGCATTTTGTAAATTTATAACAAATACACATTTATAATTCATATTTTTGAAAGCATTCTTAGTTTACAGCTTTTTTTCACACCTGCCTAAAACTTTTGCACAGTATTGTATATCTTTTTCAAGTTTCATTTCAAACACAAAGTACTGAATTTGTTTTTAATTTCTCTTTTCCCAGGTGCTCAGGAACCCAGGCAACGATGAAAGAAGGAAGCAGGATCACCGATGTTGTCTGTGGAGATTCTTCAAGAAACCATTACATGGTCATACCATCAGTATTATTGTTTGTATTATTAGTTGTTGGGCTTGGGATCACAGCTCTATGTCACACCAAAAAATAAACAGCCTGCTTTTCTTAATTTTCAATTTTCTAACATCTTACTAATCAGAAGACCAAATTCCATATTTTGTTTATAATGTATTTTCTTAATGTTTGTATTTACCATACTAATTCTAATCTTTGTATTTGTTAAACCACTTGTAAATAATAACGTTTTTGATAACAGTGTTTTGTCTTTTGATTGCCCTCATAATGTTACTTAAAGAAATTGGTACTGCTCTGTAGAACTTCTAAGGATATTGGTTCAGCTGTAGCTGAAGCAATACTGCACATTGATTTCACTGGATAGGCGCTAAAGTATCAAAGCTGTCAGAAATGTAGTGTAGTAAAAGGTATGTTCCCCTTTATGATGTAGTTGAGCAGAAATATAAATGATGAAAAAACTCAGCGTCGTCGATTCTTAATGATGCCACTTGAGTAATGGTACTTACTGACTGATGTATTACAACCAAGTGAACATGGTTTCTATAAAGCCAAGCCTACAGGAGAGCATGATGTGGACATGTTGAAATGACCCTTTGCACTAATATTGACAGTGGTAGAAAGGCGATGTACTCATTGCATTCTGAAATCGTATGATATTGTAGTCTTTTTAGAACAGTACCTTTATTTGACAGCTTGTTACCTTCGATGTACATCAGATAATACAAAGTATAATACTTAACCACATACATATCAATAGGGTCCTTTTAGTTTAAAGAGCTCTCTGCGTTGAGTAGTTAATACAAAGTAATTAAAATGAACCGTCGTACTGTTCAGTATCATTTAACTAGTTTATGATAAGGCCGCTGTTATTGCATTCCATAATCCCGTCGATTCTTTAAGTACAGGAATGTGTTGTCAAAATGGGCGGACCCGTGTATACTTTCATAAACAAGTACGTTTACATGTGATGCTCCTCTGCTTATCATTTTATTTAGATATAAACTATTTGTTGTAGCTTGAACAACATTTGATATGGAATGCCTTAATGGTAACGCGTTGTATAGCAGATTGTAACGATGGTGCTATCTATATCTTAAGTGTTATATATTGCTGAGTAGTCTAGATCCTGAGACCCATCTAATAGTCTCATAATTGTCGCGATGGTTGACATGTTGGTTGTTTCTAGAGCATGTCAGCCGCTTACATAATATCAAATCAATTCCTGTGCATTGGTGCATTTGCCACCTGAGGCAACTGATATGAGATGTCAGATCAGACTATGAGTGATGACATGGTAGCGTCGGGCTGGGGAACAATAGTCTTGCAAGGTGGGAAGAAAGGAGTATGACTTACGGCTGTCCTTTTAAGAAGAAAAAAGGAGGAGAAAGAGAGAAGAGGAGAAAAAAACGATTCTGCTGGCCTCCGACTGTTTCCCTTCTGTGCATCTAAAAAGTATTTATATACGAAGTCAGCTTTTAATAAAGACAACAAAGGTATCGTTTGTTGCTAATAACACTTGTGTACTGGCAGTTAACTATTAACTATTTCTATTAAAAATTATAATACCTTTAAATAAATAATAAGGCAAAACGTAATCCTACGTTCTTTCAGTTTATTACACTACAATTATTAGTATATTTCTTTTATCAGGGGATAGTTTTGAAGTAACCAATATGGACCTGATTGAAGCTCATGGTTTGTGGCGCCTGGATAATATACTTAATGTAATCCATTAGCATTTTGATATGAAGCTAGAAGGATTGGTGTTATAATGTATTTCTTTTAACAAACAAAGAGAAAACCTAAGAGAATTCTAAAATAGCACTCACTCAAATTAATTGGAAAAACAGTAAACGTACTTGATAGAACCCAAACCTTATTTTAAAAGTAGTTCAATCTAATAATGTAAACCAAACGCCATACAAGTAAGTAAGGTAAGCAAATTTATTAAGTAAGTGTACAAATAACACTCAAATGAGTTTTAAGCATACAATAAACATTTATCATAAACTAATAAAAATATAATATCATATGATATACATAATATCCATACTTATACCATAAATACAGTGTCGCAGTGTCCATGCTCTGGTGGGGGGGATATACATTTTGTTTATGTCCTCCAACCAATTGCTCCTTTGGCCCAATGTAGTTTATAGCCCGCTGTCCCAAACC